AGATATGGTCGACCGAGAGTGCTCGCATATACCATGGCTCCTCGCACATTCCGTCAAGGTAACAGACATTGCGTCTGAGCATAAGTTCTAAGCATAGTTTTACTATTATATTTGGTATAAAACAGTTAAAAGCATTGGTCCCGGCCCAGCGAATTACGACTTAAACAAATCCCCATATGTAAATTCCACTAGACCGCCTGAATACTCGATTAGCCGTCGGAGCAGCATTCCAAATAAAAATATAGCACCTGGACCAAATGCCTACGGTGTTAAGGATCATCTTGTAAAGCCATCCGCTCCTTATTACAGCATGTAAGATCGAGGCCTGCAGACCAAATTCTCATATCAGAGCTGTAGTTATAATTACACTTCAATTTCAGGGGTACTCGTTCCGGCTTGAAAGAAAAAGGTGGTTCACCAGGTCCTGCCAACTACAATCCCGGCGATATTAATATTACATTGACAGCTGCGCCCAAATACACTATGCGTCCACGAACAAAGTTAGCAACGAAGAGTGTAGGACCTGGTTCAAATGCTTACAATCGTATGCAGTATCAACCTGGCAAAGCCGGACCAGCGTATTCGTTTGGTGTCCGCCATTCACCCAAAGCACCACCAATGATTGTCGCCTGCGACAACATGTAAATGCATTCTAACAGAAATTATTGTATTTATTTATAAATGTTAAAAGAAAAAGAGAGAAAAAGCTAAATAGTTGTAAGGGAAAAATGCAATATAGTTGTAGGAATTAGTTTGGCAGTAATAAAAAATTATAAAGTTACACAGATTTTCCCCATTGTTTTGCAAAAACCAAAGTAGCGCCGCCAGGGAATTGCAGCTTTTGAATTAATGTTCGAAATGTCATGCCATTTTTGCATGTTGTGTTAGAAAGTAAGTACTGCCTGAGAATTGTAGGGTTTCGTTAATAGTGGGAACAACGGTAAGTAATCCTAGGAACTTGAGAGATGTGTTATTAACGTGACATCGGGTGATGTTCGTGTAATTTCCTACCAAACCGACCTGTACTTAACAATCTGTTTCTATACGTCTCTGCGTATTCGCAAGTATTATTATTATCTTTGAGAAATCTGGAAATTGTCATGTTCGTTGTGTAATTCCCTTTTAAATCTTCCATGACTAAACTGAATAAAACTTCACTTTTAATCCCACGTGGGGGAGTTATTCAATTTACAAATTGTACAAACTTATAAGTTATATATAATATAACATATATGTATATATATATATATATATAAATAGTAAATATAAACAATTATAAACTAAAAGCTTCATTGTTTCGGATCCTGATGACACAAAAATGAGATTAATATAAATTATTCAGTACTTTGTTTACATTTATATATTTTTATATATTTTATTATATGTTAATACGTTATATATGTTTTTATCTTTCAAATGTTTAACAGTAACTTTAAAATAACGTTGTCGTAAGAGGTTTGCGATAAATTAATTTAAACATTTTTTATTAATGAGAAATTGTTTTTTTGTTTTGGTCAAAAATTGAAATTTTTCACTCAAACAATCGTTAATTACCAAAAAAGCCAATATTTTTAATTAGCTATGGGCAAGTAGATTAAAAGTTTTTTTCTTTTAATTTCAAGTTGATTCCCGCCCCTGCATTATTTTCACAAGCACAACCGGTAACTTACGAAGCTACCACAAGCACAGAATTTTGTAAAAATACAGCTGTATATTTCAGCAGGGTTGTCAAATATCCACATTTACTTCAAATAAAAAGTAATAAGAAAATTTGTTTTCTATGAATTGAAGAGTCTGAAATTAGTTTGAATAGATGCTTGGTCAGTTTTCTTAAAAATTCTCATGTAATTTCTGGCCTTAGAAGAAAAAAAGGGTTTGTGCGCAATGCCTTAAATATGCTGCTAAGAATACTGCAGGGAATGGATTGAATAAACGCACAGAAGTGTGTAAATTCACGTTGTCATCGTCACGTACGTTGAAAACACACTAAACTATATTATTATTGACGTGGCCTGAGCCTATAAAAAAAAACAGTCTTTAGGATAGTGAATTGAAGAAATAGTTTCCTTCTCTTTAAATTTGTGCACAAATACTGTGACGGAAATTGTGCCATCGAAAGATGACAACGTATGAGGAGTTTATACAGCAGAACGAAGATCGAGATGGCGCCAGGCTAACGTGGAATGTTTGGCCTTCCAGTAGAATAGATGCTAGTAGGCAGGTGGTGCCACTTGCGTGTTTGTATCAGCCATTAAAAGAACGCTCTGATTTGCCACCTATTCAATATGAGCCCGTTTTATGTACGAGAGCTAATTGTCGTGCCATCTTAAATCCTCTATGTCAAGTTGATTACCGTGCCAAATTGTGGGTGTGCAATTTTTGTTTCCAAAGGAATCCGGTAAGTATTTTGTTATTGGGCTTGGCTAGTTTTTTTTGCATCTCTCAAATACATGCACTTGTGCAATTGATTTTTTTAATTCAATATACATTAAAAGTTTTTCTTAAAAATACATCAAAGTTCGAGTTGTTGTTCAAATCAACTTCAATTTGTAGCTGGTTGTGAAGGGGCGTGAATTTTCGACTTTAATCTGGTCGAGCATGTTTCATTACCTTGCTAAAGGGAAAAATATTTTATGTTTGGAAAAGTCCTCTGTTGATTATGTCGTGGCTTACAATCAAGTCGCCGCAACTTTTAATTAATTAATTTTAGGCATTTAGTTGCCCAATATCTCAATGTAAAGAATACTCAATTCAGATGAGTTAACAAATATTCAGATGAAAGTAAATGGGTAATCTAATGATGCCTTAAAAATTAGCGCAACTCACCCCCTCCTTTTTTTGCAGTTTCCACCACAGTATGCAGCAATTTCAGAACAATGTCAACCGGCCGAATTAATTCCTACCTTTAGTACCATTGAATACACTCTCGCTCGGGCACCTTGTATGCCGCCGGTATTCATATTTTTAGTAGACACTTGTATGGACGGAGAAGAATTGGATGCTTTAAAGGATTCCCTACAGATGTCCTTGAGTCTTTTACCACCGACTGCTTTAGTGGGATTAATTACGTTTGGTAAAATGATTCAAGTTCACGAATTGGGGGCAGAGGGCTGTTCTAAAAGTTATGTATTCCGAGGCACTAAAGACTTAACTGCCAAACAAGTGCAGGATATGCTGGGCATTGGTCGCATGGTCTCGGGATCTCAAGCAGTTGCAGCTCAACCAATGCTTGGGCAGCAACGTATGCCTGGTGCCGTGGGCACTCAAGCAGCTGCATCATCACCAGTGAATCGATTTCTACAGCCAGTTTCCAAATGTGACATTGCTCTTGGGGATTTGTTGAGTGAACTACAGCGTGATCCTTGGCCTGTGGCCACTCAGGGCAAGCGTTACCTCCGTTCTACGGGCGCAGCACTGGCTATTGCTGTAGGCCTATTAGAATGCTCTTATCCTAACACTGGCGCTCGCATTATGACATTCGTGGGTGGACCTTGCTCCCAGGTAAAAATATTTGGATTTTGTTTTCCATACAAAATTTACTTTTCGCTTTTTCAGGGCCCAGGTCAAGTGGTTGACGATGAGTTAAAGCATCCAATTCGTTCTCATCATGATATACATAAAGACAATGTAAAATTTATGAAGAAGGCAATCAAGCATTATGACGCTCTAGCTCTGCGCGCAGCGACAAATGGTCATTGCATTGACATATATTCTTGCGCGCTTGACCAAACTGGTTTAATGGAAATGAAACAATGCTGCAATTCCACTGGTGGTCATATGGTTATGGGAGATTCCTTTAATTCATCCTTATTTAAGCAAACATTTCAACGCGTATTTGCCCGAGATAGTCGTGGCGATTTAAAAATGGCTTTTAATGGCACTCTAGAAGTGAAATGTTCTCGTGAGCTGAAAATTTCAGGTGGAATTGGTTCGTGTGTGTCTTTGAATGTGAAGAACCCGTCAGTGTCGGATGTTGAAATTGGCATGGGTCAGACGGTTCAATGGAAGCTTTGCACATTTAATCCCAGCACAACCATGTCTTTCTTTTTTGAAGTGGTTAACCAACATTCTGCTCCGATACCGCAAGGCGGGCGCGGTAGTATGCAATTCATAACCCAATATCAACACCCAAGTGGTCAAAGACGAATACGAGTAACGACTTTGGCAAGAAAGTGAGTAAACATCGTATTCTATCTTAGCCAGAGATCACATTATTTATGTTCTTAGTTGGGCAGATGCAACAACGAGTATTCATCATATTAGTGCAGGCTTTGATCAGGAAGCAGCAGCCGTAATTATGGCTCGTATGGTAGTATATAGGGCGGAAACGGATGAAGGGCCCGATATATTAAGATGGGTTGATAGGCAGTTGATACGTTTGGTATAAACAAATGATAAAAATTGCATTCCGTTGCATTTTAACTTTATTTCGTTTTTATCATTTGTAGTGTCAAAAGTTTGGAGAATACTCCAAGGACGATCCAAACAGTTTTCGCTTAGCTCAGAATTTTTCCTTGTTTCCTCAATTTATGTATCACTTACGTCGTTCACAATTCTTGCAAGTTTTCAATAACTCGCCTGACGAGACCACATTCTATAGACACATGCTAATGCGCGAGGATCTTACTCAGTCATTAATTATGATACAACCAATATTGTACAGCTACTCATTTAACGGCCCACCTGAGCCTGTCTTATTGGACACGTCTTCCATACAGCCAGATCGTATATTGCTTATGGATACATTTTTCCAAATTCTCATTTATCATGGTGAAACCATTGCTCAATGGCGTGCCTTGAAATACCAGGATATGCCCGAGTATGAGAACTTTAAACAATTATTGCAGGCACCCGTAGATGACGCTCAGGAAATACTCCAGACGCGTTTTCCAATGCCGCGTTACATTGATACGGAGCATGGCGGATCGCAGGCACGATTCCTATTGTCCAAAGTTAATCCTTCGCAAACACACAATAATATGTATGCATATGGACAGGTGAGTGTTCGTAATTTTTCCTTCCTATATATATAATGTTTCTTAAACATATTCTTTTAATTATTATGACCTGCGTGAAAAACTGACGGCACCATTGTCTTCTCCCTTAATTTTTTTTGTTAATCCAACATTTGTCACTGAAACCAATAAAGCCACCGATTGGCCAAAGCATGGTAATATATATTTTATTATTACAAGGCGGTACCTTTAAATTAAAATAAAATGGTGATGGTGTATAATCCCTTCTAGCAATTTATTTTAATAAAAATTCTTGCATTTATATTATTAACTGTGGCTCGAAATGCGAGAAATAATTTTTACAATTAGCGTCAGCGTATATCCAAGAGATTTTTCCTTTGAAGAAATTCGGTTGATGTGTACTTTTCGGCAAAAAATTCATAACCGGTTGTACCGATGTTCCTTTATTCGATTCTTACTATTAATTATAATCTATACACAGGCTGTCTACGATGTGTGATGTGCTTTTCTTATAGGATTGCTCTTTGCCATTTATCTTTTCGGTAAAATGCCTTCGAATCTTTAATTTTATGAGCTGGTTATCCCTCTCTCAACGATAGCATGGCAAAAGAAAGAATATAAACTAAAATGGAAAATGGTTTCCTCTTTCGGCTTATTGATCTCTAAAGAGAATTCACCGCACATCTTACATGGGATATAAGCAAGCTAACGCAAAAATCCCACGAAAAATTAATTAATCGAATGGTTTTTGACTTAAAGACTTTACTGGAAAAACATATCAAACATTTAACTTACATCCAACTTAGAACCTCTACAATTTCATAAGGTAGGGATTAACAGATTTTTTTAATGGTCGGTGAAATTAAGTACCGATTTAAGGGATTTGCGAACCTATGCTGGCGAGAATGAGAGAAAAAAAATTAAAAGTCAAGCTTTTTTCAGTTGAAAGTTTTTCAACTTTGATGGTGTATAGAGATTGTGTTACCTAAGCTGAATAGGGGATACAGGATTCGCGTCTGCAATGTATATTTCTTTTCATATTTCTATGCGTTCGATATAATTAATATATGTGCTCTTTAATCGCTTTGGCGGGCGGAACAAAACTTATCGATCCACCTGTAAGCGCTCTCATTTCATGAAAAATTTAGGAAAAATGGCAAATAAACGTTACGTTCGCTTAACATATAATAATTACGTTACGTTACGTTAAACATTTTAACATTTGTTAAACATCATTCATCATTTATTAGTTTGTGAATATCAGATCGTAACCACAGCATTGAATCCCATGCGCGGTCAAAATGCATTGGTCCATTATAATTCCATATCTGAAGTATCTCATGTTAATATCATATTTGCAAATTTCATGGTATTTTATTTCAGTTCTTATAAATTTTTAATCAATGAGCAGCTACGCTTAACAAGGATACATTAATAATTGTTCCAACGTCTTGCAAATGGTTATTGGTTATTGTAAATATGGAATAATGCCTCTAAGCTTAGATCAATGTCTCCCTTTTAATAAAGTTCACGATTGATTTGTCTTTCATTATCGTTTTAGGATGGTGGCGCGCCTGTATTAACTGATGATGTTTCACTTCAGTTGTTTATGGAGCATCTAAAGAAGTTGGCTGTTTCATCTACTACTTGAATTGTGAAATTGATATTAAGTGAACGAATTATTATTTAATCTTACTATAAACTCCTTTATTGATAATAAAAGTAAAATTACAGTTTACGAATAAAAAAAAAAAAACTACGAGTTTTTAAACGAACACAAGTTAAAACTTTTAATCATTTAGTCAGCTTTCAGTGTTTTTATTTCCAGTTCATTCCTTTATATTCCAGGCAAGAGTCGCCCGAGCAATACTCAACACAAATACTTATTTGTACTTAAATGAATACTTACATATCAGTTGTCGTCAAAATAGTTGCTTCAGTTGCACCGTTGGGTAGGTCTTAATCCACTGATCGTCAGGTTATAAAAAATCAAAAACTAGATGCTTTATAATTCTAGTTCATGTAAAATGCTTAAAATCAATGTCTTTTATTATTACATAAACATTATATAAGTGCGTTTAATAATTAACACAAGTTTTTGAATTTTCGATTCCAAATAAAAGTAAATAATAAACAAACAAAAAAAAAAAAATAAAAAAAGGATTTAAAAAGCTAGCATTCATAATACAACGTCGATGTAGAGGTAATTTCATTTTTTTCTGAAAAATCGAGGTAGAGCTTCATTCAACACTTCGTATGTGGAGTTATTTTTAAACTACCATAGCTGTTATTTTCGCATGTTTATCAAAACCCAATTTGTTAAACTGATTGCTACCACAGTCATACATATCACAATTTTCAAAGAGGATTTGCCGAAGTGTCAGTTCCACAGAATATATTTTTAACTTTACTTTTCGCCTGAGAAAGTAAAATTGTTTAAGGACTTTTCCCTAAGAATTGGAAAAATTAAAAAAAAGAGTTAAAAAGGAGGATAAAGTATAAGCGCAACTTACTGTTGTGTTTGCAATTCACTTAAACCTAGCGAACCATGTGGACCAGCAGCCCAAATATAAACGGAATGAGCATGTTCTTATTTCGAATGCTTTTCAGTAAACGCAAACGCTTTGAAAGCGTTTAACAGAATGATGGCGTATTGTTAAACTTCAGCATGCAATCGCAAGTTTGCCGTAGAAACATGGCCAAATCTGGATTCTGGCAGCGGAGGAATGTCTTCGAAACTGTGTCATCACCACGGAATGCAATTTTGTAATGACATCACCCCAACGGCACTCCAAGCGGCAATCGACTCAAATACCTTCGCCGACAATCAGGATCAAGATAGTGCCGAGCGCATCTGAAAATTCTACCAGATGTTAGTAAACATCGCTGACGCGTTCCATCGAAGTGCAATATCGGCAGACATTTGGGAACATTTCCAACGGAAGCTTCTATCTGCCAAAGAATATCTGGAGAAAACATTACGGAAAGACCGCCTAATTACTGACGCGGTAAAGACAATAATAAATTTTACCCTGGCATTAAGATAGCCTCATACAGGGTAAGCCGGGCTCTTCTGGGATGTTTCTTCATCAAAATGGCGGCGGCGCAGAGGAAACGAAGCAGGCCGTCAGAAGGTATTTTAAAACTCTTCAGCAGATTAACGCAAAACCAAATAACAGCATACGTGAATGAACGCTCACCGAAAAATGATTATGAAGTGATAAAAAAAATTGGTTACGAAATTGAAGAAGAGCCCGAAGAAGAGTTTCGACCATTTGGTCAGCTCGACAAAAAAGTTAATAGCTACCGGTCACGGAATACTGGATCGGGTAGTACGTACGTGACCATCTGAATTGCTACTTTTGCCTAAGGGATCTTACAGAAGACAAGAACGAGCTTTGCATGGAAATCAACGGAAAACAGGTGGCAAAGGATGAAAAAAACAATTTACTTCTCAGGTCAGAATACATGGATCCAGCGTTGCCAAAACCCTTTGTGAACGAATTAGATAAGTTTAGGAGTCTGAGAGATTCGCTCATAAAATTATTAGCCGAAGGAGACCGTAGACCCGTTCATATCAGTAAGTTGACAATATTATTGATTTTGGACCTCAGGAGATTTCTTGCACCCCACGAATGGTACGACTGTCAGCAGAAGGTATAATTTTTAATATTTTACGATGAAAATTGATTCCGAGTAGCAATTTAACAAAAAATTAAAGCTAGAAAAAAAAACAGAGAGAGAAAGCATAATTTATAGTTTCTTATGATGGAAACTCAAAAATAATAAAATTTTTAGCAAGTAATTTAAATTTTAAAGTTTGCATACCGTTATACGATTTTCCAGGCATCTTCCAATAAGCGAACTTTCATGGAAAGTACGCCTTTACATGGAGGCAGTGTTATTTTTTGGTTCATCATTACCAAAACGAGTGAATATACTGTACTAGGTGTTGCGGTGTAAGACATATAACGGTCGACATTGCCCGATTAACATGCCCTTACTTGTTTTATAATCATGAACGCAAGTGCTGGTATTAACAAATAATTTTCTATAGTATTTTAGGCGGATTGTTTGCAATTTTTCCATTGAAAATTAAACCTCTTGGCCTCGCCTGATTTCAGTATTGAATTGAAAGATATACTAAAAGCTTTCTGCTGGGTAGAAGATTTGATATGTTTGGGGTATAAAGATGAGTGTTTTATATATAATGTGAGTAAATTTCGTATTCGTTACGTGTAAATCTATACTGACATATATGTATATAAATGTGTTGCATTTACTTTCTAGATCAAATATAACAAAACAGAAAAACGTGATCTTATTGTAAACTCTTCTTCTTACAATATTGATCCTTGCATGATCGGAGTATCCAAGGATGAATTCCTAGTTGCCATGGTCAGCTGTTCACTCGCCCTCGTGGAAGGATAGATATCAAAGAATGAATAGATTGTTTGAAAACTCCGTATATTAAATGGATGGATATATTGGACTACAGCGCCATTTATTGCTCAAATTGAAAGTACAATTGACAATTCTCCCCAAGATGAAGCTAATTGATCTTGAAGCACAGACGCTTTTTAATAATTTTATTTATTTTTTTTTTTATGTGAATATTACATACAAGTGTATTAGCGTAGAAAGTAACGCAGATGTCATTCAATCGACTAATCAAGGGACGTCCGCTTTTTAAAATCTAGAAATGTGCTTCAGAGATCTTTCATATATATATATATATACGTGCTTATATACGTGTAACATACGTACATTTGACTTTTCCTTCTCTTGCAGTGAGTATGTAAACATATCGAAAATTAAATTATTGCGAATTCCACTTAGAGTGCATAGATACTTTTCTTTGGACACATATGCTTGCGTGCTACATTTATATTAGGGGGTTGTTTAATCGCTATTGCTTCGTTTAAAAGTGGCATGTAGCATAAATCTATAAATAGCGACCTTAACATAGTGAAGCTTTTCAATGAAGCAACAGTTGTTGAGACTGAAACAGTTATTAAACTCTAACTTTTGTAACTCAATATCGTCTCGCGAGTCTTTTAAAGATTTTTTTTTTTTTTGCTTGCTCTAACTGTGACTAGCATATGTTGAAGAGATAGCGAATATTCAAAAAAAAAATTTCAATTTGTTTCGTTAAATGTACATTAATTTGGGTATTCGGATATTGTGAAATTTGGATTAAAATAACACGACCCAAACAGAAATGAATGAATCTCCAAAGATGCAATCCTTCAATCGCGATGAAATAAGTGAAGCGCGATATTCATTAAATTCAAACTCGCGTACTTCCAATAATCGGCAAATGATTGCGACCGTTATATATTTAACACTGCTTTTGGATAATGTACTTTTAACAGTAATAGGTAAATATATATTTCACCATTTTCTTTCTTTTTTTTTTTTTCATAAAAGATTCATTTTAGTGAAGTTATAAAATGCAACTAAAGAAGTTCTATACGTGTATCTTTTGCTTATATTAACAGAAAACTATATATATATATATGTATAGAAAACTGCAATATTATTTTGTTAACTTTGGGTGTGTCAGTTGGTCAATGAAAACAATTTTTGCACCGAGTTCTAAGATACGTGTTTGTGGCATATTTTATGAAATTTCATTTTTGTATAATTTATAATTTATACATATCTTTAATATATCTAATTGATATGTAAAGAGTAGTGAGTACAGCCTTTAACGTTAATATAAGCAGCCACCTTTATATACCCTACATACCTTCGCTTGTTAAAGGTATTCATGAAATGACTTCTTAAAACATGGTGGCGGTGATGCGGTCCAAAGACTCCGATCTGGATCATTTTCACTAGTGTTCGTGCTCGTGAGTCAATACACTTCGGTGTATCAAATTTTATGAAAATATTTCAAAAACTGCGACCTGTAGTTTGAACACAAAAAAAAAAACAAAGCAGACAGACAGAGGGACAGACAAGTTTAGATTAATGCAAAAAGTGATTCCGAGTCGAGCAGTGCAATAAAAGTTGGGTATATCTCAAGTCCTTCTTAGTGTTGCCTACCTACCTTGGTACTACTACACATGGTACTAAGCTTACTTTTCTGAAACTTCAGCTTGATAATGAATATAGATTGTTATCAGTTTATAATTTAAATGATTTACAATTTATTAAGTTCTGCGAATAGCAAATCTAACCCTAGAGAAAGTGGATTAGATCGGGTCACTTCTTCGATCATAACCTTTTTTGAAGAGTTGCAAACGTTCAAATTCATCAACAAAAATCTGCCGCCGAGTAATATTGTCTCGGCATTTTCACACTAACACATATAGAACATGGAACCTTGGAATTTTGATTCAATTCAGCTTTGTGCCCAAAAAGTGAAACTTGCGTGAAACTTAACTTTTCCTGATTAATTCAAAGGATAGTGCGGCGATGAACAATGGATGCACTATAACGTCCCAAGCTTAAGTAACCGTGATATAGAAGCAAATGCGAAGCAAAAACATCGACGCTAAAGGTGAATGTTCTTGATGGGGCCATTTGAGGGCGTCAGCTGAACGTGATGTATTAAAATTTGTTCCAATGAAACCATCGCTAGGGAATACTACCTCCAGTAGTTGATGCAGTTTCATCAAAAAATTGGGCGTAATATGCCAAAAGTCACGATATCGTCAGTTTTTAGTATGAAGCAAAACTTGTTCAGGAAATGTCTGCCCTCCTTATTTGCACTCGAATGCCCCACACTCCCCACCGTTGTCAGCAGATATTACTCTTGTCGATTAACGCAGGCTTCAATAGATGACATATTGTTTACTCGAACAGAAGCAGTCTTCTACTCTTATGACGACATCCAAAAATTGATTCTGTTGGGCATCTTAAGAGACGAGATTTTTTTCAACACGTAACTCGAAAATTGCATTGAAAGATGGGGAAACTTACAAAAAAAAAAGGCTCAAAACTTATTTGTACAAATAATAATAAAATCGTAATTTTTTTGCTATTCTATTATGAATTCAAAGAATTTGACTTAAAAAGTCGACAGGTAAGGCGCTGAGAATTTTAAATTAATTTACTTTAAGAAATTTCTTTAAATACTTTATACTACATCACTCAATAAATACCTAGGATGACATACTATGAATATGGAGATAATTATTGATTAACACTAAAACAGCTATAACTTCTACCACTACTTGTAGCTAGAAATCCAATAGATTTGTTAATAGTCGCGACATACCTCTACGTCATTCTACGGACGAATTGAGTGATGTCTTATATGCCGATATATTATTGATTGGCTTCATAATCCCATACCCATTTGACGGAGAATTAAGAGTAACTTTTTTATTGTGAAAGTTTCATTTTTTTTAAATCGTTAATCTCTTTCGTTTGCAGTGCCCATATTGCCGCATTATTTAGCATCGATGAACCGCATGAATACATCCCAGAATTACACTTCATTGATCAGAGTAGTGGCGGAAAATGTTAATAAACCAAACAGTGTGTTTACTGTTCAATATCCAACTTATTATCATCGCGAAGATACGAATGCAACATTATTGCCAATTATGACAAAACATCCAATACTCGGCAAATCGATAAACACAAAATTTTCACCCCTTCGCTCGGAGAATCATAATGAAATGTTCAAATCATTTCACATGAATGCGCACAATAGAGATAATAGATTCAATGGTCCGGAAAATAATAAAAGTACTAAGGGAGCGTTAACAAGCTATAATACGAGCGTCGACGAAATGCGTCAAGGAGATAATGAAGCAAGTAAGCTGATTGGAGAGAATAGTTCCATCGGGATATTGTTAGCTATGAAAGCTTTATTGCAATTAATTTTCAATCCAATCGTTGGAAGCGTGTCGTGTAAATTTGGATATCATTTACCAATTATTGCAGGCACTATCTGTTTATTGATATCGTCGTTAGGTGAGTCGCGAGTCATTTGTCGCTGCTTTTATTTGTTTATTTTCCTATGCAATTGAAATTCGTCGCAACAATCTTAAAAATTATTCAATTTTCTTATTTGTAGTATTGTAGGAAGACTTTTGAAATTTTGAAATACCTATACATATATCTATATATATATATATCATTATTTGTCACTACTTTCGATATTTAGTTCAATTCAATTATGCATATTTGTGCTGCATTGAAATCTAAAATCGTCTTCAAGTTTCTTAACTCAAACCAATCTATTCGCGGTCAAAGTGAGGAACAACATCACAACATGCGGCGCTTTGGATAGTAGGTCTATTCGCAACAAACGGATCTTCAATTATGGACGATATTATGGAAAAGTTAAATCGTCAAAGATACATTGGGAGAAAAGTCAAAGAGAAAATTATGGAAGCAAATCCACAATATTATCATTAGCACTATTCCTCTGTTAATCCTCAATTAGTTCTACCATTCTATCCATCAAATGTTGAGAAAATCAAGATTAAACCATTTTCGAGAGATCGCTTTGGTCATACAATTGCAGCACGTCTCCGTTTGCTGACTGCCTAAACTTATCTTTTGTTAGAAGGATCGCCATCAAAACGATTAGTCCTTAGCTTAGCTTAGTGATTGTCCATATATATATATATATATATATTTTATTAGAAGAACCGCAGTATGAGCAAATAGTCGTGCGTAGTGATTGCCTAACCTTTTCTTTTGCTAGAAGGTTCACATTCGGAACGACTAATCCTGTCGACAACCTAAAATCCGCTACAGAACACAATATCAATTTGTTATATCATTTTAAGTTCGCACAATATCGAACTCATTTTGAAATCTTTAGTATGCAGCGAGGACGTTCAAGAAGTAGACGTTTACGGGATTAACAAAGATAAGCCAAAGTCTTTTCAAAGAGCATTCGTCGGTAGGGTGGACTTTGCATCATATTTAAGCGACCAAGTTAGCCATTGGTTGCTTTCTTCAATTGTGCGGCTAAAAATCTGAAATAAATGAAATATGAAGCGTTTACGGTTTTTCTAATAATTATTATTGCCCTATCTATATAGAAAGCGCAGATATTTATTTTGACCAATTTCATTTCAATCTTAGATCGTTATGTTTTAATCTAAGACATGCATCTATTTATAGCATTTGCGGTTGGAGTAACATACGCCGATTTGTTAATAGCTCGGGCTATACAAGGTATAGGATCGGCATGCATCAACATTTGCGGTATGAGCTTAATAGCTCAGGTAAGAGCGTACAGTTTTCTATTATATATAAGTCATATATATATATTTAATATTTAGAATTATCCTGAAGAAGATCGTCGTTCCAAAATTATGGGCATTGTTTTGGGTAGCATTGCTTTAGGTGTTCTGATGGGCTATCCATTCGGTGGAATATTGTATGACTTATATGGAAAGACCACTCCGCTTATCATACTTGCAACTGTAATATTTATATGCTTAGGTAAGATCCAAAATCATGGTAGCCGCTTAAAGAGTTCATTTTAGTTAACATATCCTATATTAAGTTTGCAGAGCACATTCATGTCAGAGGTTTAGAAGCTTTGTTTTTCCAATTAATATTTAAGTGGAATTGATTTGAACGGCTTTGCAAGTTAAGGTTTATTTTTGATCCCGAACTTAAATTTTGCCTTTGACCTGCTCAAGTTAGCAAAGCATCCAAATAAAACCTTAGGTTTATCTTCATTTAATGAAAATCTTTACCGATACTTTCCGCAATAGGATTATATTGGGCGTTTGTTGGTGAGCTTTACAGCTTTTTTCAAGCGTTGAGTTAGCTTTCGCTTTGGTATTCCGCCTCTTCGTCAAAGAGCGAAAGCCAAATTTTTCATAGATGATTACCTCCCAAATTTAACATAGCTAAGCTTCATGTTTCGTTCACAGTATTGGCAAGTAGTATTGGTTAAAGGGAAAATTTCTAAGAACTATAAAAAACCAATAAGAATATTATAATCGAGCAAAGCGGACTCATAGGTGCCCTGCATAGGTACTGGGCCTAGTATATCTACTCACTCGTTTTGGTAATACTACACCAAATATTACACATTATTTTCATGTAAAGGCAAACTTTTCATCAAAGCCCGGATATTGGAGGATCCCCAAGATATATTTGGGCTTTATACGTCAAAAAATCGAATTCTTAATATTTTATGAGGAAAATTTGTTGTTAGCAAGTCAACCTTCGATTTTTTAGACCACATCATGAAAGCAGCCCTCTCTACGCGAACAAAGCCTAACATGCGTTTTAAGATTACGGAGGCAACTGAAAATTAATAAAATCGCTGAAAAGTAAATTAAGCTCACTAAATTTAGAACTTGTTGACGTTTGAGTATGAGTGCTTTCATGAAAATTATGCGTGTACATAAAAGTAACGTACAATTTTTTGTGTATTATTAACTAAGAGAAATAATGTATGATATCTAATGGGCGCCTTTGCCTCTTTATAGAATTCTTTCTTAATTTTTTTGCTTAAAATTTGGAGCAGACACCCTGCTTGCCTCAGTGTGAACAAGAAGGGTATCGCTATTGTAAGTGTTCGTAATATTTTCAGCTCTCGTTTCATCCAAAAAAAATTGTTAAAAATAGGGTTTTTTAACCTATTACCATGGGTTCGTCCTTTAATACGATTTCAGCATTTGAAATGTGTTTACCATCCTTAGTGCTTTTGTTTTGCTTTTAATTATTTACATGCTACCAGGAATGCAGTTAATAATAATGGATCTCTCTACGCAATCGGAGGTAATTTCGAATTTAATTCCGGTAATCAATAACTGTTACATACATTATTAAGAAATTAATTTGTTGCAGTCTCTGGCGATAACGGATATGCAGCATTCACAGTCAAATTGGAAGCTTTTACTAAAGAGCAAAATAATTTTAGCGCTAATCTTAGCCATATGGTTTTCGACTTCTGTAATGGCTGTTCTCGAACCTTGTTTGCCTATATGGTTAATGCAGCATTTAAAACCTACAAGATGGCAATTGGGCACTGTTTTCATACCCGACTCAGTTGGCTATTTTGTAGGCACTAATTTCTTTGGATCGATAGCTTACAAATATGGACAAGTAAAAATCGCCTGTGTCTCCATGATATTGATAGGCATTTCCGCTATGTTAGTAAGTAAACATTGTACGTCATGTATTGTCATTATTAAATGTGTAATTGGGTTAGATGTCTACAAAAAAGTTAATATTTAGAAATGAGCAAATGCTCTTTGGAAAGCATTGCTTTTCTTGTGCTACCCTTTCTCCTCTCTCTCTCTCTCTCTCTTTCTATCACGTCCTGTACGAAGCATTGAAGACCATTCACTTCGCAATGGTTGTTGAAAGTTCTCAACGAAGCCGACAGCCTTAGCTGCTAACGTTTGAAGACTTTCGTCCTCCGTCTCATATGTTATATTGCTCAAGAATATGTATATTTAACGCTATCCTATATATAACAGTTTTCTAGTTCGGCTAATGGCGCGCAACTATTATTGAGACCTGAACACAATTTTAGCTTTTGCCGATTGCTCGAAACAGGAAGACATGTGAGGTTTTTGTCGGCAGTGGCTTGGCAGTGACAATGACCTTTGCACCATTTTGAGATAAATAATAGAAGGTCAGTCAGCCAGCATTACAATAGACGAGTAATGATACCCAAATTTGCAGGCAGCCATTGCTCAGCTGTATGCATCAAAATTCCTCAAGTTCGTCGTACTGTACGTGGCTGCTTCTGTTAGTTATGTATTCAATCGTTTTGTCTATCTGTCTACCTGCTAATATCACGATCACGATCTCGGAAATTTGTTGTAGAAGTCTGTTACGGTTGTGTGCACCCCGAAGGGTTTAAGATAGATCAATTTAGCAAAAGTGATTCTGATTCGACCTAAGCTTGCGTGTACGTCTGTTCGTCTGACTTCTGTCGACGTATTTTTGTGCTCAATCTACATTCGTAAACCCTTATAAGGAAAAGATTGGAAAAATTGTAGCAACGATACCGAAACCCAGTTCTTATCCTTGCGATGGCAATTTATGGAAGGAAGAGCTTTCTCTTCAACACATTTGAAATACAGCCATATATATAGCAGATTTGAAGCCTATGCTTGCAATGTGCTTTTGAACAATTAAATAACAGCCGATAATGCATACAGAATCTCCTCTCGGTGTTACAAGAAAGACAGCGAAGATCTTGATAGACACATTTAAAAATCATGTTTATAAAAGCGAGCAAATAAATCTAACTATCTATTATTAGATACCACGTGCCTCCTCTGTCGCCCATCTATTAGTGCCGCATTTTGGACTTGGTTTGGGTATTGGTATAGTGGATGCTGCTTTAGTTCCCCTCTTAGCTAAATTTATGGATGACATTCTCTTTCATGAGGAGCCGACGTCGCTTAATCAAGTTAATCCGATCTTAAGATATGGAAACGTATATGCGATCCAGCAGACTTCTGTCAGTTTGGCTTATTTTTTGGCACCACTAATAGGAGGCGAATTGGCGCAAGCAATCGGTTTTGACTACCTCATGCGTACTATTGGTGCCTTTAACATTCTATACGGATCGGCGTTGCTATATTCATATCAAATGTTTGATCCTAAGGTAAAACTAATTAGATACCTATAGCTATAGCTTTTTTTTAAATTACATTTTCAGTTGTTACGTGAAAAGCAAAATGAGATGCTTTTAAATGATTCCGGATATGGTACTAAATATCGGCAACTTTACGATACTCTTGAATTGAAATAGTTTAGCATTAGACGTATTTTCTCAGTATGCACTTAATTATAGATGTAAGTAAAATTGATTTAAAGTAAATAAGTAAATAATTAAATATATCAACTTTTGATTATTTAACAGGTTTCTCACGCCTATTCGCCTGTTCGCTGAGGGTTTGACCTGCGATAACTTATTGTGTGGATGATTTAAATTCGTATCAGTTGCTTTTAAAGGAACTTAGTTTATTGGCGCAATAAATAGAGGCCTCAAATTCTGTTAAATAAGACAATGAAAGGATAATTGTCTACAGGAACAAATTTAATCTTAGACTAATTCGGTATTTACTTAATCTGTACGTTGCTGATACCTCAGGACCGAAAGAGCGTAATATGAAGCTCACGACAATGATTAGTTAGTTACTAGTGAGGATAAACATAAGAAAAATATACATTTTTTATTAATGTATTTTGAAAGAAACGGGCGAAACCATTGTTGACTCTTTTGTACGCGGGAAACAGTATATATGTTTTTTTGGAGGGGAGGGGGAAAATTTCGAAATTCTTACCCCCTAATGGATTTTGAGCCATTTGTATGCGACTAACATGACCAGGAAAATCTTCCTAGATATGACGATCATCGTGAGTCGATAAGCGTGGCTTACTATTCCTGCCACTAGCTCCGTTAAAATTTCTCGAACTGACTTTAGCATAAATCGTAGAGTCTACAACCTATCCGGTAGCTCAATCATGTAACCGCTGCCTTTTACCCAGCCTTTCGTCAAACGTTGCTTTGCCGCCAAGCAGCGTAAGTGCTGGTACGGTCATTGAACATAAACTTCGCTTATAGTAAAGGTCCACGATTATGTACATGCTCTCAACGATGAACCGTTATATACACATAACGGCTATCGAATTTATCACCTGCCACTTCAACATCTTGCAAGATACCTACGAATTTCGCTACTCCGCAACCCAAAAGCAGTAAAAAGTTCTTATCGTCACAGATGGGTGCAGTGCCAACGACTTGCAGTGGCATATTTTTAATAAATCCTTGGCACGTTCAACTTCGACTGCGATCACCATGGATGCAAAGACGCATTCATTCAGTTTGAACATTTCATATTCTAGAGGAGCGCAAACGCTGTACATACCCCATAAGCCTACATTCTTATAGTGAATGTTGAAAAACTGATCTGTAAATCTGTAGCCACGGAAAATTTTTGGAACAGAAGCTTAAAATGGTAAAAATGTCTTCTACGTTGACGATCACGATTGGTAGTACTATTAACCCCACTCCTTTGAGACCTATCCCATGCACCCACCTTCAACTTGAGGCAGTTCTATTACACTTACAGGCATAAAGTATTTGAGAGTATATCGGCAATGTATAAAAATCTTGATCAAGACGCAACTATGGACAATGACACAAATTATGAATCCATTTTCATCCCATTGTCATGTATGTAATAATATAATCGTGATCATGCGAGAACCAATAATCATCATAACCATCTAAAAAATGTACTGTAAAATTTATTTATTTAATGAAAACTCTTTTAGGGGCAATTCAAACGATCTGAAAAGTCTGCATGACAGAGGAATTATACATATTAAGAAATAAATTTAAATAAAGAATAACAATAAAAGATATATGTTGAACTGAAAGTTGACACAAACGAATGTGTGGGAAATTAATTAATTTAGACGTTTCATTTGTCATTTTTTCTGCTTCTTTTTCCATTTGAGAAATTTGTTTATATGTATTAAAAAAAAAAAAAAAAAATTAAAAATCTTATATGGTTAAACAGTTAACTGTTGATATTGCATATACAATATAGCAAAATACGGAAATGCTTGCGAAAAATTCCGTTGCATAAGAAATTTAGAAATAAAGAAATCAGCGAGATATAGTCAAAAATCTTTCATGGAACCAATTTAGGCACATCGATGAAAGTGACTTCACTTGTTTGCGAAGGTCTTTGATATTCGATAAGTACGATTTTGTTGGTTCCAATCTAAGTACTTCTCAGGTATATACAATGTAATTTGCGGGCCAACTAAAGGCCAATAGCGACCAATATTTTCACCGTTAATAAATGCGAATGTTTGTATGCGCCATAGCAATTGTATAGAGAATGGCAATGGAGTATTTCGAGTAACGGTTTTACATGAACAATGACGGCGATAGACGCGCAATTAATGTAATTTGTGGCGATCAGCCGTAGACAATCTGTGCAGAGACGGGACAAGATAATTACTTACTATTTCATAGGTATATCTCTGTCGTAAGGAAAATTCGCTTTTCAGCGTTTTTAAATTTTCCTTTTGTTCTTAATTCTTTTTGTGATGAATTTGATTTCTTTCTCATACGCGAATAATAACAAATAAGGGGCGGGAAAAAAATTAAAATAAAGAAAAAATTGACGATATATGGTGCCATAGTGATAGATAGCAATAAAAACAACTTTATCTTCGTTAATATTCTAGCGACTTTTTTTTTGACATTTTAAATAAAATATTTTGCAATGTTCGTCTTTCATAAAGGAATTCGTTTCTGCTATTGACAAAGGCGGTAACGCTGTAAGCTAGAGACATTCCTTTTTAAAGTAATTATAGGCAGGCAACTCTGGAAATAAAACGAAGAAAGGTTGTATGCGTCATAGCCATTGTATAGAGAATAGCAGTGGAGTATTTCGAGTAAGGGTTTTACATGAACATCGGCGGTGAGAGACGCGCAATTAATGTATTTTGGACGATCAGCCATAGACAATCTGTGCAGAGCCGGGACAAGATAATTACTTACTGTTTCATAGGCATATGTTTGTCGTAAGGAAACTGCGCAATAACTTAACGTCGTTCGCCTTTGGTACTATTATTAGCAGTAATGCTTTGTTGGATTTTGCAGTTTCGTGATGCTTAATAATAACTGCAAAACTATCTTAACTATGTTCAAACGTGTGACACCAAGAGATCAAGCATACGAACGAATAAAATTTGAAAAATCTTCAATCACATTAACGTCCAAGTGCAGATGCAAATGACAGCTGATTTTTTAACTTTTCTATTTGAACATAGTATACGCTAACGTTTTTAATAAAATCTTAGAAAATTTTACAAGCGACATATACTTAAAATCCGGAAAATACAAAAGTTGTATTGATTTTTTCTTCCTTTGTGAATTTAGTGAAAATTCAATTTAGAGAAAAGAAAAGGTCTTCCAGTCTTTCGAGTATATACCAAAATTTAAAATTAGTACAAGATAAATATAAATTAGGTAAAGAACTTTTCAATTTAAAATAGTCTTAATTTCTTCTTTTATTTTTATTTTTTTTTTTTTTTCTGTGTTATTCGTTTGTATCCATATATAGCAAATTTCCACGAAACATTGTAAAAAGCGTGAAAATTTGAATTTCCACACAGGATAAAAAAGATAACAGGGCTACCAAAGTTCGCTATGCCTTATTACATCTCTTTAGGTTCGCTCTGCTTGTTATTTTCAAGTAGACTAATACAATGAAATAAAATATTGGCAGCCCTCGAAAAGCAAAATGAATTTGCTTCAAAGCAAGGTAAAACGCAAACAAGATAATTTTGGGAATAAAATAGATAAGCTGCAAGAATGTGAGAATTTTTTTTCGGCGTGTCAAATAAAAGCCATATGTATATGCCAACGGCGCCAGTTTATAGATAATCAAGCTATTACCGTTTTTAGTAACGCAGGGAAGTCATCCTTTTTAGCCGTAATTACAGAAGATTGCTCTATTAAAAAGAAAAGGAAGAAGAAATTGGTAAACATATACTTTCGGCGGTGTCATTTACTTTCGGCTGTGTCATTTACATTCGGCTGTGTCATTTACTTTCGGCTGTGACATGTATTGGTCATACATTTAAAACGGTAAGCAGAAGGAGAAGAAGAAGACAACATTACCTGAATATATATATATTTTCTTCATTTTATATATTTAATTTTTCTTTTTTTCGTAGATTCTATGGTTATACTGATTCGCCAAGTCCCAGTTACAAAAAGAAATTGAATTACTTAGGCTTCCCATTGCAGAATCTCGCTCTACATCTACGCTATATCGTTTATACGCCGTTTCAAATCATTATGGTTTTATGGAGAGCGGTCATTATACCGCTTTCTGCAAAAATGATGCACTTAATCATTGGTATATATAAATTTGACGATCACATGGTTTCATCAAAAGTAAGTATCATGTTCTGTTCCATGAAATTCGTACATGATTTTTTTTATCAAGTTTATTTCAAACTATATTTGCATTCGAGCTTATTTCAATCTACGCGTTACTACTGACAGTTAAGTAAAGTTTCCTTTACACTTTTTTGCAGAATTAGCGAGTATCAAATTTTCACAGCGCAGACAGTGAACTCGAGCTAAGCAAATTACAAACCGGCGATATGATTCAAATTTTGTTAAGCAATAATTTGTATATAAACGCCAGCGATGAGAAACGGCATTGTTTTGAAAATAATTTAAGAAGGTTCTCCATGGACGTTGTTGCGTAAGTTTAAATGTAATATAACACTGTTATAGTAAACGCTCTTCTATTCCCATATGTTGAATAATTCATTTCTGTCTCTTTTTGCAGCCTTACACACCTGCGGAGGTTTAAATTGGTCTTGTTTTCAATACAATAAATCCCAAAAATGAATATATCGGCAGAAAATTCCTAGTGGAAAAAAATTTGTAGTACATCAACTCGTCCATATAAAGGCAGGATGTGAACACTTCAATAAATAGTTTTCTACTGAAATTGAATTTATAATAAGACTGAGCGAAGGCAGGTTCACTGAGTGATTATCGTCCATACTTCAACATCATAAACCATGAACTGAAATAGCATGAACCTTCGATAACGTAATTATTCTTAAGGTAAGACGAAGCTTTAAGATAAATTTATAGTATTTAAGCTGAAAAAAGACAAAATTGATGTAATTATTATTCATTTTATACTTTGACTATATATCAAGAGAGGGCAATTGATAAGTTTGTAATGTAAAAAAAAAGGATAGACACAGAAGTAAACTATTGATATTGATAAACGATAATGATAACTCACTCAATCTTTGGTTTAGTTGCTTGCAAGGAACTTTTAAATCTTGCATTCACGTAAAGCTCGTTTGAGCAGATACGAGTTTTAAAAGTTACATAAATAGTAACAATGCGTGTATTTTGTAATTGTGTGCCGAACTACCGCTTAGAGGACTGTTTAATGAAATTGAGCTTAAGAAGCTTTACGACATAAAATTCATAAATTTTTTTTTTCTTTTTCTCAAATTGAAATTGGCTTGTACGTACACGTCGGCAGCTTTGCACTACCCTCGCTGACCCATTTTCTTGACAAGAAATCTTGTTTCCTCAGAAAAATGAAACAGATTTACTCTCATTTAAACACTAATGTCAATTTATTCTTCATTATTTCGGTACAAATTTGCATATCTACTCGTATGCCTTAAATTAAATAGGTTTGAAATACACACCAGAGGGCTACTACCTCAATCAGTCGGTCAGTATGTAAAATTGGCTTACTAAATTTTACTTATTCTGTTCCTCCTCTTGTACGACATTTGCGGATGTTGATGGATTTATTTTCGTTCGGAAGACAAAGAGCAGAAGGAAGTCATCTTCTACATCGTCCGTCTTACAGTACTGTGACAATCACTTGCAGTATTAAGTAGGCAACGTCAAATGAAATACATCGTAGGCTTCGTCGAATGCCTCGTCGACTTGAAGGCTTGTTTACATTTTTCGCTTTTTTTGGAACTGTCTTCTCTTTAGTTAATGAGGATATGTTTGCAGATTAAAAAGGATAAATAAATAAAAAATGTTCAATAATAAATCGAGAATAACATTTCCAATATTTACATTCAAACAAGTAGTCACTCATTTAGTTACCCTCTCAAGTTACCAAATTCAAACTTCGCTCATTTAGTCACTCTCTCAAGTTACCAAATACGAAGAAAACATGAAGCCTTAATAAATCCGATACCGGATTCGTTTCTTTTGAGAAAGTTGCTCTTTATATCCGCAGATAGTTACGCACGTGCGAAAACCTTTATGGAGACTGTCTGGCTGTCGAAACTTTCTTACTAAATGGTCTGACGCTTTACCTAGCCCTAATTACGTTCTTCGTCGGCCTATAACCTTTCATTTATGTCGGGTAGGATTAGATGCAAATCAAGCCGGCAGTTACTCCATCGAAAGAGATGTAAATGAAATTAAATTTATTTTCCATTGTGAAAAATTGTAATTTGTTTATCTATGTACAGGTGTGTGCACATGTCGATGGTCCGCTGGTGTACATCTCGTCCATACAACTAACGGGGCTTTATGCATCTACCCTATCTGCTACGTATGGCACCTTAGCCAGTTCTTCTGTCCCCTCTATTGTATCCTGCACGTCCATCGTTTCTTCTTCCCCTGCTACCCTATCTCCCACTTGTGTCAGCAGTTTTTCTTCTACGTCAAATCCCTGAAAACCTACCTTTTACTCTCTGTTAGTCTCAATCCGTACATTTTTGTTGTCACGTATCTGTCCCGCCCGAGTCAACCTTTAGCATGCAGCGAATCTTCTTCGATGTGAGGCGATGAGCGGAGCGAGTTGGACTTGGTTTTTTATCTAAATATAAAGATTTGAACATAAGTTACAAATAAGTGATTTATAAATATATTTACATACTGTTTCGATTACCTTTACTTTGCTGTATTTAAAGCACGACTTCTCCTTTAAAATGACAACACATTTTCAATTGTTTCTTGCACCCAGTTTTTGCCAGTCAGTAACAAATGTATCATGAAGCCTAGAAGATTAGTGCGGTGGATATTTTTTTGGTTTCTTTCTTTTCTTTTCGGTTTGTTTGAGGTGTTTGAGTTGCCATAATTATTTCTGCGGCGCCTTAACCGCTCGATTTTGTGGCGTAAATCTGTTGTGTCCAATTGCATCGGCGCCCCTCGTTTCTTGCGCCGGCGCCTTTTTTTTTTTACTGCCGCTACAGCAGGATCCTGACGCCTTGAAGAAGGCAAGCTGCTTCACTATCGTCGCCTGGATGCGCTTGTCGATGTTGGCGTCTACCATATGAAATCTCATAATTGTCAAGTAGATGCCCATGGCTGCCAAAAAAATTTCAAATATTTTGTGTTTCGGAAATTCGGCATTCAGTTGCTTATGGGCCAGGATTTGTTCGTGTTTCGGGTCATTGGCGACTAGTTTGCCATCAATTTCGGAGAACGCTTCTTCCTTCCTCAGCGTTAGGTCGCTTAGGCATTCTTGACATCTTAGCTGCTTACGGATGTATTGGGCTATTCCATAGCCTATGAGCACCCTGAAGTATGTCGCCTCGTTTGCATTTAGCTGTCTGCCACCTACTTTGAATGGTGCCCTATTCAGGTCGTATGGCAGAAACTCATCTTCGGCATGGGCTGGTGTCGCGTAATCCAGCTTTTCAATCAGGTGATAATCGTCATCAGAGCTGGATCCGCTTTTCGAAAATTCGATTTGTTGTTTGGTTAAGCGGATGCCCAGCTTCATCACATCTTCCACGGGTCTTGTTCTCTTTCTCCTGCCTGGCGCCATCTTGCAGAAAAATCTTTCCAAGAGGTCTTGGTTTACCCTGTAGGCGTGTATAGTTATGCCAGGGTAAGCCTCCAGCAGTCCATTCATTATCTCCACGAAGTTGTCGATGGTTTTCAAGGTGGGCTTAGTCACCACGGCCGTCTGGAAGTTATCTTTCAAACGCGTTTTCACTTTCGCCAGCACCTCTTCCTGTCCTTCCGATTGGGCGCTGCTTATCTTGCCCGTGTGTAAGACTTTGCATAATACAGTCAGAGCATCGAAGGCTTTGTATGTTCGTATATCTTTTTCTTTATGAATTATTCTGCTGCACGTTTGCCATTGTAGCGGAAGTTAATAGCTGCATACATTCTTTGAGCGATCCAGAAGAAGTATTTTTTAAACATGTGCACCTCTTCTCTTTAAATAATAAATTTTATTCTTCTACTTAGTCTTTTCAGCGCCTTCTTGCATGGCCGATGATGGCTTTCCGCTTTCCTTTTTATCTATCGGGAAAACAAGAATTGTATCATTAAATTATAAAAATAATAAATTAAATTCTTCTACTTACTCTTTTCTGACGACATTATTTTCCGATGACATTAATATTTGAAATGACGCTCGTCTTCTTCTTCTCCTATATATATTGTTGTTGCCGTTGCTTATCGTCAAGATCAACTATTACAAGAGATGCAAATCAAAGTAGTAAATAATTTGAGGTGCGAATTTTTCCCACATGTGCCCTGGTGACGATGGAAGTGTCGAACAGTTACTTGTTCCTTGCCATTATATAGTAAATTGAATGCATTAGATGTATATAGTCGACCAGATGGTATATCGTATAAACGGTGCTGTCCGCTCGCTTTCGTTTATAAATTCCGTTGTTGAACTTTACCACTGTGTGCACGTTTGCGCAGCTCCTGTCGCAGACTACTGCTTTCACTTCCAGGCCGGCCTCCTCTGCGATACCTAAGCATCTGTCCAGTTCGTCTGGAGCTCCGTTGTAGGCGGTTATGGCGGTGGCACTGATCACCATGTTGAAACTTGTCAGCAGGCTACGTACACCGAAGAAGAGTACTGAGTGGTATTCTTTCGTTATCGTAATTTTTTCGGTGTTGTTGTAGCCGCAACCGTATAATATATCCTCGGTTCGAGAATATTTTGTTTTTTCGTTTGCGTACACTTCGTCGAAGTGTAGCTGCACAACCTTGTCGTGAGAACTTAACCTCCCGCAGCGCCTCCGTATTTATTGTGAATTTAAGTTCCCGGCCTTCAGCGGGTTCAGTAATTCGGTTATTTTTCCTCTGCGCCTCCACGTCCACTACGTGATCAGCTCGTTGAACTTCCTGGCCTTCATTTTCGTGAGCAGCGGGTTCAAGGCATCGCTTCTTTTTCTTCCGCGCTGCTTCCGCCCACGTTGTTGGTCCCTCGTCGTATATCCAGGTTCTGTTCCTTAAATTATATCTATTGTGTTTGTTCTTCGTTTCAAAAAACCCCAAAAAATCTCCGCTAACTGACTCATTATATTCTAAAATATGTTCACTATCTGGCTCTGGATTTCGCTCTCTACCTCAACGGGTCTTTCTCCGTAACATAACATTTGCGTTGTGATCCTATTGACAGCATGGTGCAATCCTAATTTGTGCGCGTACCACAAGTACGCGCACATACCCGTGTAGCCTGTTCCCTTCGATTTGTTTAATCGTTTCAGGCTCATTCTAAGTGTCACCCATTTTATACGGACATCTTCTATAGTTATGGTCGTGTTTGTTTTTTCCGTCAATTCGTCGGCTAACCCCTTACCAACTTTTTTCCAACATATATATTTATTATCCTCGCGCGTACCAAATGTAGTCTACCATTCTCGTCGTAATTTCAATTTAAAATATTGTGAAATTAGAGTCAAATGTAGCTGTTATAGTAATATACCGTTCATTTAATATCCAGACGAGGATGCTATATGTGGATCCAAAATTCAACTATATTGTCATTGTTGTAAATATAGATGCGCTCTGAAAATTATTATTAGAGATATTTATCTCTTTATGCATGGTTCAGTTTAAATTGTTCTTTCGTAAAAACCGACTTGATCTAATTACCCAAGAAAGTTTGAAGAAAGAAATTGTTCGCTTTGTAAAACCCTTCTGATAATTCATTTATTTAACACAGATTGTTATTCATATCCATATTCCAATATCATTTACTACTTAAAGAGTAAGAAAAAAAAGAATATTTTTTCCACTTATTTTTGATTTTTTTTGACAAATGCACTTTGTGCATAGTGTATATTAAGTTTTGTTTGTACTTAGCTGCTCTTTGTATTGTGCAACAAAACCAACAACAATAATGTATAAGTGTTATTTAATTTTCAGCAATTACTCATACGCTCCGTTCAAATTTTATTGCTGATTTTTTGTTTACAAGCGAATTGACTTTTAAGGAAAACCAAATGCGCACATATTTGTATGCATGCATGCAAATAAAATTTTATTTGCGACGCAAAATCGATTATTTTATTTTTTTGTAATTCAGACAAAATACACACATACGTACATAAGGACGGAGACAGAGAGATAGAGACAGAGCGACTGAGAGAATGTTTGATCATACAGTTTATAGAACCTTCGTTGTTACAAACAAAGTGATGAAGTTTATTATCTGTTCTTTCCACGCTTATGAGCGTATTATATATACTATTGTATATTTATATACTATTAATGAATAATTATAATTATAAAACTTTGCGATAGAAGTTGTTTGATTGTTGATTGCAGTTTATCTATTATTCACTTTGAAATCCCACTTATTCTTTAGCATAGAAAAAAATAAAAATAATTTTTGATAATAACAAAAAAAATAATTCTGTTCATAATAACTTTTTATATATACACAGTATATATAACGGTACTTCCTGGCTTTGATATACTCCAGTTTGCCATCGCAAGGTTTCCATTTTTGTCATATGGCATACCAACGTATTGAAATTAAATTAATTGTATATCTCTTTGGAG